GCCAGCAGCAAGAACTTAAAGCTTTGGATGTGAACAGGATCACACAGTGATCTGAATAACCCCAGATGTGTCCCAGCCATGCTGTCTCTGCCAGGTTTCTGCCACAGGCCAGACCTGGTCTTCTGGATCTGTGACTCTCCCAGGTTTAGAAACAGCAAATCTGCATGTCCAGAAGAGAGCGGGACTTTTGCAGAGGGTGGCTACAGCCCCTATGAAGTCACCCATCTCTCCCTGTCATGTGAAGAAGAGACCTGGCTGATGAGCCTGGCTGGTTAGGCTTCTAATTCTGCTCCGTTGATGCAGAGAAGCTTTAGATTATGGTGAGAAGTAGGACAGGAAAGCTGGATGAGGGAGGTAGTAACAGGATAGCCAGGGAAGGACATGAGCTTAGGTATGAATCTTTACCTTGCTGCTTCTCCAGACACATCCTGGGAAGATTATACTCCCTCTAGAAGCAGCAGAAGGACATGAGCTTAGGTATGAATCTTTACCTTGCTGCTTCTCCTGGGAAGATTTTACTCCCTCTAGAAGCAGCAATAGTTCAGGGCAAATGTTTTTGGTTTTTTTCCCCTCCAGGTTAGAGAAGAATAGAAATTCTTGTGATTCTTAGCACCTCCCCAAGGCCAGAGCTGAGAGCAAGCATGGCTTGTGATATTGATTGTAGCTGCTCTCTCTCAACATGGCAAGTTTCTGTCTCCTGATGTCTGCACAACCTTCATGTGTGGCAGGAGCATCAGGCTGAGTGACAGTCCTGGCGAGGCTTTCATCCTGGTGCATTGAAAGGAGCAAGAAAATACAGTGTCTCCCCCTCAAAAATCCCTTACAAGAGATGATTTCTTTGCAGTCTGGGCAGAGTAAAGAAAATCCTGCTGCTTAAACAGGCTATTTTGTGGCAACTGCTGTGCACGAATGATGGCTGCAAGGCAGAGGCAGTCACAAATGGATCCATCAACTTTTTTGGGTCCTAAAATAACATGGCCCTGGAGGAGCTGGCTGCAGCTCTTGGTGAGGTGGCAAGCCTGGGATCTGTGACTCTCCTTGAGGTCCAGCTGTTTCACCTATAGCAGGGTGACAGTGTCCTCAGCATCCACTTCATCCTGGCAGCATGGAGCCACCTCACCTTTCTGCCCCCCCAGAAACAGCCATGCAGGTTACTGCCAATGCAGATTCCTCACAGGTGTTTGTCAGCTGCTGAAAGGGGAGACAAACATACGAGCTGTGGAAGGTGAGGAATACTGAAAAATTCTGGAGCAAACTACATTCTTTGGCACCCATCTGGGCCATACTTGCAGGGGAGGAGTGATCAGTGCCCCATAAATCTGATGCCACCTCTGCATGGGGACAGATGCGTATGGTGGGACGCTGTTTGTCCCTGGGTTGAGGGGGAAGGCCCTGCTGAAAGGCTCCCAGGGCAATAGGTGGCTGCAGCTGCAGGCTCCCTGCCAGCAGCTGTGCCCAGAGTGGGATCTGGAGGCCGATCTCACAGCCAAGACAGCGCCATTCATCGGCACTCAATAAACAAAAGTGCCTCGCTGTTTTATCCAGGAGATAAGCATGGAGGGCACGAGATTGCTTTCCCTTGTGTTGTCTGTGCTGAGCGTGGGAGCCTGTGCTGGCTGCCAAAGGAGCCGAGGCGCTGCTGCTGTGGCACGTGCTGTGGACAGGCAGGGAACAGGGCTGCTGGGTGCCAGGGAGCCCGAGGCTGGAGCCTCACAGGCACTGGGCACTGGGAGATGCTGGCGGAGGCTGCCAGTCCTGCAGGATGTGTTGCAGGAGCTGGGCCATTGTTTAAGCCAGCTCTCATTAGAATGCCAGGGTCAACCAGCTGCTCTAAAAGTCACTTAAAAAAGGAAGGAAATTCTACTTTTTTTTTTTTTTTCCCCACGTGTGCTTTGAGCATCAGGGACTTTATTCCTACTAATTGTTCAGCATTTGAATCAAATAACTACCAAGAAGATGTCTGCAGCCTCTTTTCAAGGAGTAATGGGCAGAGAGGACAGACAGACCACATACATTGGGTTCACCAGTGTGGTCTTGCAGTTTGAGCTTTTGGGGACAACGGAGCTGTGTTTGGGGTTAAGCTGTCCCCTTCTTGCACTCTCCAGCTGCATCCACATCCTCTCTCGCTTCTGTAATGTCAAGTACCTGCACAGAAAATGAAACCAGACCAGTGGTTTCTGGGTGCTTCCTGCCATCCCAGCCGATGGCCAGCTGTGAGTCTGTTCACTTTACTCCTTCTGTTTGACTATACCCTGGGTGCCTCCCCTAACACCTCTGTGCTGTTACCTTTGGCAGCACATCCTGTGGTCTCAATGGAGAACAAGATCAGGCTTGGTTGGGATTGATTTTTCCAGAAAACGATGTTGACTGCTGCTAATTACATTACTGCCTCTTCAATATTTATCAGCTGAATTGTCTACCAGTGCTCTGAGAATCATGTCCAGGCCAAGGGAGCAGTGACCAAGCTTGCCCAATTTCACTTTTTTAAGCGTTGGTTTAATAACCACACTCAGCAGGCACTTGGGGATTTTGCTGGCAGTCCACAATTTATTAAAACAGAGAACAATACAAAAGGGGAAGGAAACTGAAGAGCGAGACCTTGTGAAAGCCTCTTTCTTTGCAGCAGACTGAACTTGACCCATGTCCTTGCAGGGCTGAATCAGCCCACAGCCCCTCTGAGAGGTGGGCTGAAAGCAGTGCAGGATTTTGAGACTCACACAGGGCAAGCTTTGTGACAAGCTGAGCACGGACCTGGTCTAATGCTCCTGTGTGCACCATGATGACAACAACATTGCCGTGTACAGGAGGTCCTGAGCTGTGCTCTTCACCTTCTGTCAGACACAGACAGTGCTGCTTTTGAAGCTCCATTTTGCACCAAACAGTTTTAAATCTCTTTTGTGTCTGTCAGGAGAAAAAAATCATGTCTGAAAGCAGAGGAAACCTTGACAACCTGGCACTCGCTGAATATGAACTTTCTTCCTCTGCTTCCTTTTTTTATGCCCTCTCTTAAATGCTGCCGGAAGAAATGGGTCCTTTGTGCCATGCAGGTTACAAAGAGCAGTTGTTCTTATGCAGCAGAACCAAAAATAAAAATGTGTGATTGCAGTCCTCCTGAGATGCAGCAAAAAGAGGACAGTGTTAACCTCTTCTTTGCCAGGGGGTGGTAGTGTCCTGCTAGCACATCTACACTGTGATAAACAGTAACATCTATACCTCAAGCCACACTGAGCTCAGTTCAGCTTTTGGCTGAGAGGATACAGCACAGTGAAACCCACTGATGCCTTTACAAAACAGGGCAGGGTGGGGATACGCCACCACCAAGGAAAGAGGTGGGAAGCAATTTTGCAGCTGTGGAGTAAGTAAGAAGATCTCAGCTCCCCAACACTGTTTCCCAAACTGGGAATTCCCACAGCAGTGCCCATCAGAGCACCTGCTTGCAACCCAGGCCTTGCTGCCTGTTTTTCCAAGGACATGGTGGAGATAGGACTGTGGGGTTGGATAGACTATTCTGGCATCTCCCTGCCCACTGCACTTGCATTTTTCTCTTGTGCTGGACACGCAATAAAATTTTATTGCTGCTCACGCAATAAAATGGCCACAGCGCACAGGTCTCCTCCCTTGGTCAGGCAGCACCCTTCTGTAGGGAGCTTTCCACCTCCAGTGCTGTATCTTCTCATGCTTTGCTCAGCCCAGGCTGAAAAGCACACAAGAAAAGCTGATCCCTTTTTCACCTATATCCAACACACTACCATTGGCTTCTGATGCTTCACTGGCCTCTGGCTTATATCTTCTTCTCACCTTGGGTTCCGGATCCCTAACTGTGATAACAAGCTCCTCTAGTTTTCAGGTGTGTGCATAACTGTGAGGTTTCTGGGCTGTTCATCACAACTCCATATAATTGTCACTTCTCCTGTGTACACAATGTCCTCATTAGCCCTACATGCTCCTGGGACCATCCTTGTAGGCACTCTTTTCTAGTCACCCCCGATTCACTGCACAAGAAAACTGTGTAGTGATGCTCTGCCAGCTTCCATGGGCGCTTGATACAGAGCTGGTAATCCCACACTCACAGGGTGTGTGTGAGCAATGAGGAGATGTATTCCCCTGGAGATCTTCACATCTTTCCCTGGTGGTACCACACCTGTGGATGTTACAGAATCACAAAATGGTTTAGGTTGGAGGAGACCATAAAGGTCATCTCACTCCATCCTCCTCTAGTAGACACCTTCCCCTAGACCAGGTTACTCAGAGCCCCATCCAGCCTGGCCTTGAATACTGCTGGGGATGGGGCATCCACAGCTTCTCTGGGCAGCCTGTGCCAGTGTCTCACCACAAAGAACCCGGTCATCCCAAGTGGCACAGAGATCTGTTAGGCTGCTGCTGTCCTCCTCACCATTAAAATGCTTAATTTCCAAGGCCTGATAAAACGGCCTCTGTGGATGTTTTGTCCCAGCAAGGATTTAGGTCCCATAATGCTCCTGAGAACTCCAGGTCCACAGTGGAGCCTTCTAACCCCAAAAATCAATGCCTGCCAGTAGGGGTAGCAGGCAGCACAGCATGGTGACGCCATGGGCACAGCAGGCCTGGCTGGTATCCTGAAGGGAATGACAGAATCACAGAATATGCTGAGTTGGAAAGGACCCACAAGGATCATGGAATCCAACTTCTATCCCTGGACAGGACATCCCCAGAAGTCACACCATGTGCCTGAGAGCATTGTCCAAAAGCTTCTTGTGCTGTCAGGTTTGGTGCTGTGACCGCTTCCCTGGGGAGCCTGTTCCAGTGCCCAGACATCCTCTGGGTGAGGAACCTCTTTCTAAAGCCCAACCTAAACCTGCCCTGACACAACTTCAGGCCGTTCCCTCGGGTACAGATGTCAGACTTATTCTTTCCCCCCGCTGTCGCTCGCTCCGTGTCCTGCCGTGAGGCGCCTCGCAAGACGGCTGTGGGCGCGGGCCGGGGCAGCTCGGGGCACGGCGGGGCAGTCCCGGCCCCCGGGCCGGAGGGGGCAGAGCTGAGTCGGGCCGGGCCGCGCCGCGCAGGAGCTCCGCACCCCGCGCCGCACCGTCCCCGGCCCCGGCGGGAGCCGCCGCCGCCGCCCGGTAAGTGTGAGCGCGGCCCTTCCCATGCCCTCCGGAGGCGCCGCCGGGGGTCCCGACACCCCTCCTGCCGCCGGGATGCAGCTCGGCCATGCACCCCGGCCTGGCTCCTGCTGCACCGGCCCCGCCGCCGCTTACCCCGGCCCCTCATCTCAGGGGTGTGCCGGCCGCCCTTCCTGCGGCCCCGGGCCCTGGATGGCCATCTCCTCGCCCCGAGGGGCTGCGGGCTCCCCACGTACCCACCCCCCTCCCCGGCGCTGCGGGCTCCCCTTGCTCGCCGCCACTTCCCCTCCTCACCCTGGGGTATTTATGTCTTCCTAGCCACCCCCCCCCCGGGCTGGCTCCCTCAGCCTGCGCGGGGGGCCCGGGGCTGAGCGCCCCCGCTCGCCGTGGTGCGGGGCTTGCCCTTGCCGGGCGCGGGGGCTGCAGCCGCGGTGCGCCTTCCTCTGCCCTGCCCGCGCCTGGGAAACTGCGGTGACACGTGTGCGGCTCCAGCCAGCCCTTCAGCGCTCCGGAGCTGCAGCCTTTTGTATTGAAAGCGATTAGCGAGTTTCTCCGGGCTTCTGATTCTGGGGCGATTCGTAGGATTCCCTGACCGCACCGGTCGCAGCGCAGGTCCTGCACCTAAGCCCCTCTGAGCTCCTTCCAGACGCTCCTAAGCCAGATCCCCTGCCTCTCTGAGATAGGTCAAGGTTATTGTGCTCTTCATGCAGTGGACAGGGAAGGTGGAAATGTGGACAGGCTATGGGATTTCCTCAAGGTCACCCTGGGAATTGGACCCCAAGCATCCTCTTGCTGCACCCTTTGCAGCTGCTGGGTGAGGGTGAAGTTGTAGAAATCAGATTTTCCAGTGCCCCAGCGTCCTTCCTGCAAGGCTTCTCAGATTTTAGTGTATATACCTTGCCAGTTGTCAGGGCAGGATCCCGGCTTTATTTATTTGGCCTGATGTCTTTTGGCTATAAGATGTTTACAGTTAAATGGTGGGTATTTTTACCATAGTGTGTTGATCTCTGAGAGTCTTGCTACTATTAGGATCTGACTTTGTGGTGCTGCTGCTGCTGTTGGGATGGTATCTGCAGTGATTTTGATCACTGCAAGTAACTGTGGCTTTGCTTCTCAAGAATTCGCTTCTTGGCAGTGCCAAGCAAAAGGCAACTGAACAAGAGTGGTACTGATAAGGATGTATCGTGTGGGGCTTGGGTGGTGGTTGTCTTCTTGTGCTCTACTTCTGTTTTGCTTTGCAGGCTGTTATAAACAAAGGAGTAGGCATGATTTAATAGGAGGAGTTCCTCTAACCTCTTCCTCAGAAAATAAATACGAGGATTTAATGAGAGTTTACCCCTTTGAATGTCTTGCCTGTAGGATTTTTACCTGCATGCTGCTGCTTGTAGTTGTTCATACAGGTGCAGTTTTTCTCCTAGTGCTGTGCCCTTGGGCTCATCTGCTCACCGAGTGCCTGTCGTAGTAAGGAGCGTTATGTTTTGGGGGTGGTGGCGATCTGTGGCACAGATGGATGGCTGAGATGGAAAAGGGATCAAATCTGTGTTGTAAACTGAAGCCCTGCTCTTCTCTGAAGGAAAGTCTGCAGTCTTGTTTGGTGCCCAGCAATCTTGTTAATGTCTTACTAGGATGCCAGAACCACTGAGCATCTTCCTGCTGCCGTTTTAGGAAGGGGTAGTGTGCTGTATTAAGTTACTAAAAGGTAGAAATCACTGACAGCCTGTCAAGGCCATTTGCTCCCCTTTTCCTGCCAAGATTAAAATTAGTGGGCAAGATGGGGGAAATACCTACCTGGCTGGCCAAGGTGACAGCAGCTTGTCCATATGGAAGCAGCCCCCTGCTTGCTTGTGTGTCATGTGTTTTCTTGTAGGTCTCTGCCAGGGCAAAGGTGTGATGAAGAGAAGGGATGGGGGCACGGTGACTGGTGGCTGGTGTGTCTTGAAACCTGGGAGCCATAGGATTTGGAGCTGTCTGATAAGGGATATTTGGGGAAAGTCTTGCTTAGAAGCTGTAAGCATTTCATGTGCCTATACAGCTGTTCTTGCGTAACTGTTGTCATCCTGAGAATTGTGAAATAGTAGGAGGGAGAAATTTCCCAGATAAGTGTAGCTGCGTTTCCAGGTGAGTAAATGTTGTGTTGTGTTTAGCTAGAATAAGATCTGTGTGTAGAGCCAACATCTCTGACCAGGGGCCCAATTCTGCAGATTGCCGTGAGAACAGCTTTTCCTTGAAGGCTAAAGCCCAGTCTAGGGAACATCATAGTTGCAGAGTGTGTGATGATCATGCAATGCTGTGAAAATAGTTAAATATCTTTGGCACTTCTTGAGGAATACACCCAGTGTTGATAGCTGGGTGTGCAGCTGCAGTGTGAGCTACAGTTTGTGCCCTGGATGGGCGAAATGTCAGGAGCACCAGGAAAGGGGCTGTGACCTGGTGCTGACCCTTTGGACAGCAAAAGGCACAGGGATACAGCAGGAGCTGATGACTCAGCAAGAAGACCCCAGACTGTTTGGGTGCACAAACTGTAACAGTATAAAAGTGCAGGAATGCTTTTGTTAGGGGTCCCTCCGCAGAGGCACCAGGTCAAGCTGGTTTTGTGTCACTGCACCACGATTAAATTACTTAGAGGATCCAGACATCTGAGACTGCGGTGGGAAACCAAGGGCTGAGCCAGTAAGGAAACCCTGTCTGACTGTGAGTGTGGGGTGTGCAGGGAGCCAAAAGGGCCACCCATGGGGTCACTGGAGCCATCTGCTGTGAAGGGACTTTGGTCCCAGCAGTGAAAGTCTTGGAATGGGGAGAGTGTGACTGCCAGAGTGGCCGCCTCCTGGGTGGTCAGACAGGAAAGTTTCTTTAACACACTCTGGGTTTTATCTGAATAATCTGCAGCCAGGAGGCTGTAAGATGGGTGACTGATGAGTTGTTCCTTCTTCCTCAACAAGGAGTTACCTGGAGGTGGAGTAAGGATGCATGGTCTCCATCTCCGGTCCTCCAAAGGGTCAGGCCTTGTGTTTGCTGGTGGGCTGGCAGTTACTTGTTTTGCAGGTGCTGGCAAGCCTCTGGACTCTCACCCCACTGTGGAAATAAAATGCTGCTAGTGGGTGATTGCCACATTCACAGTAGCTACTGGAAGGTGGGATGTCCTTGTGAAGTCCAAGGGATGAAAGGCTTGTGTGGTGGGAAGAAAAGTTCAGCAGCATTAACCATAACTGCAGAGAGACTCGTGTCCCCTGGTGCTGAATAGCAGCAGGTCTGCCTTGTTCCACACCACCCTTGCTTTTGTCACTTGATCCCTGGTCTCACTTGCAGGCAGGGATCTGCAAATCTTTTGCACTGCCAACTTTCCAGTGCCAGCAAGATGTCTTGCACAGGGTGTATCTCTTAATGGGCTGAGTTTATCTGCCTAAAATCATATTGTGCTGTCAGAATGACATAAAAGAGCTTTGAACTGGGCCTCAAGGGGAAAGGAAAAGGGTTGGAAAAATGCAAAATATTTTTATTCCGTTATTAGGAGAGCCTGGCCTGGGGAGATGATGTGTAACCAAAGCAGGTTTGGAATGGCTGGTACAAATGATCCTGCGTGCTGCAGTTCATGTGTGTTACGATAGGATGCTGATGCACTGTGAAGGGAGTTTCTACAGTTTCCCCTTTTCTAGGCTGTTTCAGAACAGAGAGATATTTCTTCTTTCTTCCTAAGCCTGATTTCATCCTGGCCTTCCTTTTTCGCAGTTTTTTTCCCCCCCTGTTGTTTGTTTTGTTTGTTTGTTTTGGGTTTATTTTGTTAGTTGGGGTTTTTGTTTGTTTGGGGTTTTTTTTTTGCTTTGTTCCTTTGTTTTTCCCTAGAATGAAATTTCTACACAGCTGATGGCCCTTCGTTAGTTGGGTTTTTTGTTTGTTTGGGGGTTTTTTTGCTTTGTTTCTTTGTTTTTCCCTAGAATGAAATTTTTACACAGCTGATGGCCCTTCAGTGGTGTCCCAGGGCTGAGCACCTTCACCCTTTACTTCAGTAAGTTGATACAGCTCTGGCAGACAGTGGAGCAAATTTAGTTTTCACCAGCTGAGTTTGAGCATCATGTGGGAGCCCTCAAGCAACAGGAAGAGTCTGCTCCCACAGCCTGCTTAGCCTGTCACTTATAAGTTTGTTAATGTCCTGTTAGGCTTCCAGTTGGACCTGTCTTTCTCCCAGCTGCCTCTGCTCTCCTGTTAAAATCTGCAGTGCTGTGTAGGACAAATGTCTGTACTGCTCTTTCTACAACAAGATTGCAGGATGGGGAAGAATCTGCCTGTTCATAGCATTCTGCCTTCTGCTACTGCAGGTACATAAGGACTGGTAATTACTACTTTTACATCCATGATGCATTCCCCTAAATCCTTAACTGTGTTTTCAGGAATTGCAAAAGCCTGCTTTTCAGGAAATGCCCGTGTTTGTATATTCAGGCTCTCTTAGAAGTGACTAAACATCTGCACTGCTACAGGTTGGGAGACATGGAATTGTCAATTACTTATCATGGCAAATGAGCTAGAGATGCTGCCTGGTGTAGGCAGTGCATTGGTTTTTTTTGTAACTCTTGAACATGTTGAACACCATGCCTGTGTTCCATGGTGCATTCCTCATAAATGGCTGCATGGACTCCAGCCTTGCTGGAGGAAGTTGTCCTGTCTGTCTACAGTGAGACAACAGGGACATGACTGCAAGTGCCTGTTCTCTGCCAGAGAGGTGTCTGAGATCTAACAGGGCCGTGTGTTTCAGCTTCTCTGGCACCATGATGTAATGAAGCCATGCTCCTTCAGCAAGGCTGAGTCCTCTGGCTGTACCTGCTTGGTTTGGGGACTGTCACTTAGCCATATCCAGCTAACAGTGGCAGCTTGCTAGAGCTATCACTGTGTTGCTCCAGCTAATCCTAACAGCAGATAAATATTTTCCTGTCCTCTTCTGTTTGCCTTCTAGCACAGAGATAGCAGGAAGGAGGAGTTGGATTGAGCTGTCCAATGCCAAACTTGGA